GAATTTTTGAAGGTCTCGTGGGTTCCGAAAATGGGTTCGATGCTTGGCCCCGTGTGCCCTCTGGCGAGCGGTCCAGTTCGGTAGCAAATCATGGGAGTGAGGCCCTCCAGAGGTCTCAACCCAATACCGGGACCAGTTTTTTCATCCTGAGCAGTTCTTTGACGGCCCTGGGACCGGAATCTACCCGTGATCACCGAAAAGAATTTCGAGCGCCAGGAGAGTAAAAACATTGAAAGGTTTTCACGTAGGCGGCACTTCGCTAGCGGCGCGTCGGGCAGACACTGTTTCGATATTGTGCCGGATGCTCGAAAACGTTTCTCGGATGTGGTGTTTGAGTGTGTGGGAGATGGGAGCAAAACGACCCCAGAGGCCGAAGACAGAACAGAAACGCCCGCCGTGATCTCTTCAGGACCCGAGAGGGGGCCTCTGGGAGCAGCGCCCGAGCGCGGCGCTGCTCTGCCCTTTGCCTGCGCCCCCACCCGGGTCAGGGGGCAGAGAAAGGGGGGGGGGGGATAGATTCGGTAGCAAATCATGGGAGCCTGGTATACCAGGGCCCACGAAGGCCCACTAAGGTCGAGATCACCTCCGGTCACACCATCATCAGCCGGCCCACCGACATCACGCAGCCCCCGGACGAATCGCAGCGGACGAATCGAAGCAACCGAGCCGAGGCGGACGAGTTCCATTGAAAAAAAGGGAGTTCAGACGACATAGGTTCGGACGAAGTGGAATAGAATCCTCGAGGCAACCTTCGGGTACACCAGCAATTTCGGTAGCAAATCATGGGAGCATGGTATAATATCTTCCGTCTGCAGCGTCGATTAGCGTCTGGGAGTCGACGAGACGTTGCCGATTTGGCGTCGTCTGGCGTCGATTAGCGTCGATTTGCATCGATTTAGCGTCGACTAGCGCCGATTCGCAAGAGCCGACAAGATGGTAAGGGAGGCTCCCATGAGTTGCCACCGAAGAGGGGATGCATCGACCCCCAATCGTCCATTGATCGTCGGTAGGGGTCTCAGAGCCCCACACCGTCCAGGAAAGTGCGGACTTGCTAATCGAGGGCTTGCCGCCGATCTATCGGCGATGTATCCACCCTCACACGTCGGTCGTTGCAAGTAGGTATCGCTGGACTCTTAGATCCTGATATACTTCCAGCGCCCTCCTACTCATCGAGCGGTGTTCCCTCTTGCCGTCTTGAAGGCCATGTTAGGCGTCTTGGAGGCCTCTTGGGCCGTCTCGGGGTCCTCTGGGGCCGTCTTGGGGGCCCCTTGGGCAGTCATGGGGCAATCTTGGAAGGCTCTAGGGCGATTTTGGGGCCGTCTTGGGGGCCTCTTGCGCCATGTTGAACCGTCGGAAGGCCGACAAGAAGCAAAGGCCAACATCCTTGAAACGCCCTCCCCTGAAACGCCCTCCTCTTCGCGGGGCGGGCGGAAGCTCAATCCTTTTTGCAACGCCTTCCTGCTTCATGCTTCTGCCCACTCCTGCCTCGGGCGGCCGCTCCGGCCCGCTCGACGCGGCACTCTTCCACGTCTCGGGCCGGGCGAAAGGGGGGGATTGGGAAAGGGGGGGTTACGAAATTTGCTGCATGCAGCTGGTTTCGGCCTCACCGAGGGGCCCATTCCACGACACATGGCCGCCTCCGGCGCCGGGAGGCGCCGGGAAAATCAGCTACGTGAGCTGATTCTCACCCCCCCCCCTCTGCTATCCCCCCCTTTCGCCCGACCCGAACGTCTGTGCGATCTCCTCTCCCCTTCCCCCCCCCGCGCTGCCAACCTCGTCCTTCTCCCACCTCGTCCGCGCCGGCCAACTTGGCCTTCCGGCTGCCCCGCATGGAGCCGCACGCTGGAGCGGACGGCCTCTGCTCCACGGGCGCGCTCCACGGCTCGCAGAGTGCCTCCTCGCAAGCCTCCGCAAAAGTGCATGCCTGCTCTGAGCCCCCGCGGGGGAGTAGTTGCGCTGCGAGTAGCGGAACGCACTCGCTTTGCAGTCAGACATGCCAGTAGGGATGGGGCTTTTTTCCAAGGCTGCCCCATGCATCCTTGCCCCGTTCGGTATTCGGTATCCTTCGGCATTCTCACGGAAAACGTCAACATGGCGTTCCAAGGCCCTTGCATCCTCACCGCGCATCCTCACTGCCCTAGTCGAGTGCATCTGCCTCCGCCGCCGACGGCACAAAACTTCCGCCCGCTTCGTCCCACCGACGGGCACCGCTGCCCCTCGCCCCGCGAGTGCGAGCAAGATTCAGATCCATGTCCAGTGTTTCTTGGACTTTTTCGGAAGCGGCGCCACAAGGCCGAGGCGCACTGGATATGGATAAGAATCGAGCCTCTAGGGGGCACACTTATCCATACCCAGCGCGCCTCGGGGTTCTGGGGAAGGGAGCCCGAAACTCCATACTGTAGTGGATATGGACAGAAGTACTCCCCGCACCGAGGCCGCCCCGCGGCCCGCGGCGCCGGCCGTTGAGGAGCTGAGCGACGGGGGCGAGGCGGCGGCGGAGGCGCGCGCGCGCGCGACCGGGATCCGCCCTGGCGGCCCGTCGCCTGGGGTGGCCGCCGGGGCCGACGGGGCCGCCCCGAGTCAGGAGGAAAAGAAACACACAGACGCAATTAATCTTCGATTCCATAGAAAATATTGGAAAATATGGGAAGTGGGGGGAAAGACAGAAACTCAGAAAATATGGGAACATATGGGGAATATTTTTACTTGTGTGTATTTATTTGTGTGTCCTGGGGCTCCTTCACCGAGGGCTCTCGAGGGCAGACCGAGGGAGACAGCAAGGGCCACTCGGAAGATCGGAGCGTGAATTGCCTGCCCCGCTTTCGCTTCCAGGCAAAACCAAGTCATACCACGCGCCTCCTCGTCCAGCGGCCTGACCAGTACAGGCCGTAGTCTGGCATCGCTTGGTATCTCTTGGAAGCGGGGTGGTCAAGAGCGAGGTAGGTTTGTTGCCCCCCTAGCAGAAGAGATGCCCCTACCCCTGCCCCTCCCTCGCGCTTTCCCCGGTGTCGGCCTCCTGGGAGGCCCCCGTCGCCGCCGCGGGATTCGCCTCGAGATGCTGGTCAGAACGCACCCCGGGAGAGGTTCGGGGAGTAGCAGTGAAGGATCGGTACTTTCTGGTTTCCCCACCACCGAACATAGCGAGGGCTAACGAGCATATCGAGGGACAGCGAGGGACATCAAGGGCTATCGAGCCGTCGGTGGTTTGGGGAAGGCTACGCAGCGCTTGTCGTTTGGGGGCCGATGTTAAGCGTTGAACGGCACGTTGGGGAGCGAAGCATGCTCTGTGGAGAGTGGCGGGAATCGCTTCATTCGCGGTTGGTTGCGTTGCTTGTTGGTGTCTGGTTTTGACGGACAGCCCATTTGCATGTCCAGGCGAAGTGTCTTGATCATGGCAGCGCGGGTTCACTCAGTGGACAAAGAGGTGGGGAAGTTGTCGAACCGAATTTTTGGATCAGCCTGGGCACGCCCAGGAGTAACACACATGGACATTCGGCGGCCCTGCCGAATGAGGGAGGGCGAAGGAGACTGATGAGGAGGCAGGGGGAGGAGGAGGAAGGGGAGGAACACGAGGGGGACGAGGAGGGATCAGGACAGAGGAGAAGTGAGGGGAGCAGGAGGAGAAGGGCGAGCAGAAGGATGATGAGCTTGATTGCGCGCGTTCTCACCCAGCTTCGGGTTGACCCTGGTTGGGAGAAGGAGGAGGAGGATGAGGAGGAGGAGGTGGAGGGTGGCCTCTTAAGCATGTTTCTCGTGATGACAGGGGTCGCGTCGCCAAAACATCCGATCGTCGCGGTGAAGAAAGTGATGGGGTGCGGGCGTGCAAGCGAGACATCGTCCAAGCTCGCAGGGGCTGCCGCATGCGTCCATGCCCTGCTCGCAGTCAGCATCGCCGCAATTGCCCGGCGTGCCGTCCAGTTCGCAGCCCGCACCATGGCGAGACGCTTTGGCATCGTGACCGTGGCGACGGCGTAGGCGGAAGGACGGCCACGTCCATTGCGGACTACATTCCGTTGATCGGTACTGAAGTCCAATATGCGGACGCTGCTAGGGAAGATCTGAGCGTTGATCTCAAGATCTGCAATCAAGACTGGCAGTGGCAGCGGCGGGATGAAGACTCCGATGGGGCGAGCGCGGGCAGGGATGGAAGCGTGCCCCGTCGGCGCGAGCTGAATGCGACGGGTCAGATCGCGGGCAGCTCCAGAGCCGAGCCTCCTGCCTCTCCTCCAGCATCCACTCGGGCGGCGGGCGAGAAAATCGAAGAAGAAGGAAGAGATTTGGGGGGGCGGCCATTCTCAGGAGGGGAAAAAACACAGACACAATGAATGTCCGACTCCCAGAAAAATATAGGAAAATATGGGAAGCGGGGGGGAAGACAGAAACCCAGGAAATATGGGAAAATATGGGGAGTATTTTTATTTGTGTGTATTTATTTGTGTGTCCCAGGGCCCCTTCACATTCGCGCCAACCTCACCTGCCGAACCACCGGGCGGACGCGCCCAGGGCGACGATGACCCCGACAGGGAAAAGAGCGGGCGCGCCTGGGAGACCCAGGAGACCGGCGAGACAAAAGCGGCCCCTTCAAAGACGCTACAGTGAGCGGCTTGAATAAGGAACACTTACTTTTCAAAAGGGGCTCGGTCGTTCCTTAGAATTGTATGCGTTATTTACAGTTCCTTATGCGTTATTTGTTATGTATCGTTTGTTATGTGTTTTTCCTTGGGATAAAAAAGGGGCTCCGTTCCTTATTTATCGTTCCTTAGGTCAGGCCGATGACTGTACGTCCAGATCATGAGGTGGACCCAGAGGAGCCCCCCGATAGCGACACGGAGAGCAGCTGAGTCCCCGCGAGGAGACGCTCGGGCTCAGCTGCCCGCCTCGGAGGTAGCCCGACACCTGCCTGAGTATTTTGGCATCGCTCGGACGTGTGCATATTTTCCTTCGGCGAGGAGCATCGAAGAGCATCCTTGATCATTTGGCGAAGAAAACCACGCACGAAACCGGAAAAAAAACACAGGGAATAGACGTCCGAGCGATGGCCAGGTAACGGGTCGCCACAAGGTCTGCAGAGCACCGGGGGGGCCAGGCCTTTCCTGGCGACTGGGCGCCTTCACTACTAGCCGCGCGCACGGGAATATCAGGCTCGGCAACAGACAAGGACATGTCAAAATATGATGTGCCTTTTGGCCCCGCAGCGATGAATAATCTGCAGGATGCCAAAGACCTGCCTCCAACACGTGAGTCGAAAGGGAAGTTTCGCCAGGGCGCTGGCGGCACCGGAAGGTTTCCAAGAGGAGAGCCTCTAGCCATCAGCAAAGAAGCGGGCGGCGCTGATCAGTGCCGCGCAGGCAAAATCACCTGCCGAGTCGTCGGCCGCGGCCTCGACATCCGTCGGGCCACCGACCGCGCTACTAATGCCAAAGTCAAAGGCTGCGCCCTCGAAGCTGACTGGCGCAGGAATCCAGGTGGGGGCGGACGCGCCCGCGGACGCGCCCAGCCCTGGAGGGGCGGACGCGCCCGATAAGGAACATGTTCCTGACCAAGGTACAATGCCGACGCAGACCGCCGTCGAAGCACAGAAACAAAGCTACGTAATACACTACGCAAATTGCAACCCCTCAGTTTCCCAAAAGAGACTCCGAATCCAGAGGCCCGAATGAGACGGAGTAGTGTTGCATTCTATGCGTTGCCACGCCAACGTAAAACGACCGTTATTCGCACCTGCAGGCGCAGGTCATTTTATGGTGGCGTCCGTGGTGAACGACTTGCGAAAGCGTGATGGGCATAGGATCGCTACGATGGCTGGGTAGCGGTCACAGATGCTCTGTTTCATCTTTGGGGCGGAAGGGTTTACGAAAGCATATGTACATGGATGCGCGATCCAACCGCAAGGTTCTGCGATTTGGTTGCTCTTGCACATCGGCAACATGACGGACAGTTTTGGTGCCGAGGAGGCCCGCCTCCAGCTGAAGCATGCGCGCGACGACGAGGATGCTTCAAATTGTGGATTGGAGCCACTGGGGGGAACTCGTTTTCTGGCGTAGTATGCAAAGAATCACTGTGCTCGGCGGTGACGCGTGTAGGCGGCCAAACTCCCGAATCCGTTGACAATGCCCTCGGTTTCTTCGTGCGCGGAACCAAGTGGGATTACCTGAGTGGCATCATCGGGCGCGGTACGTCTCGGCGTGCAGAGCACAACCCACGAGGAAGACGCGTCAGGCAGTTTGTAGACGGATGCCCCGATCTGACGGGTGACCACGGGATCCTTTCTCGCTTCAGGGAGGACACCGAATTTTACAGATTCACATCCATCCCGCGTCTATTGCGAGATGGAAGAAAGGTCTGGCGTTCTGCTGACGATACTGTTGCGACGGACGGACTCAACGGTATTATTCCGACCATGTGCAGTCCAGCTTGCGTGGACACCCGAATGCGAATAGAAGTGCGTCTGGTATTATCCCAAGTGCTTCTCTGGCGCCAGGTCTGATTTACGGGGCTGGCCGATGGTAATGGACGGTGTCCACTTTCAGAACAGCTGGTTCGAGCCCGAAGCACCAGTCGGCGTTGGGGTGGCCACGCGCGTGGGACCTTTCGGCGCAGAGCAGTGCACCTCATCGTCCACGCAGCTGCTGGCACAGCCACAACAACGAATGCTGAGCCACCGGCAGCTTTGCCCACTGACACTGGCTCATCTTCCTGGATAGTACCACCATCCAACGAGGTGTTTACGCTGTCGGACGCCTTCGGTCGGTTCCACCCTTGGGCAGACGCCCTTGGATGCGTGCTGTCAGGGCAGCCAGCGGGTTTCGGGCGGGCAAGGCCACCAGCAAACGCTGGCTCTACCAGGTTCGAGCCCATTGTATTCGGCCAGCCAAGGTCCGAGCAGAGCTCAGCGCCAGGGGCGGGCACGCCCAATGGCCAACAAGCAGCGTCGAGGAGCAATGAGGACTTCATGAAGCGCATGGCCATGCTGCGCCAGGACTCCGACCTTGCAGCTGCCATCAGGGCAACGCTGCCCTGTGGCACTCTAAGCCAATGCCAGGCCACTGGCAGCCCAGCAAGCTCGCTGCTGGCAGCGCCACCAACAGACCAGCCTGGACACAGGCAGTCGCCACTAGAGCAACATCACTCGTGCAATAACAACATCAGGCGACCATGTCTGAGATGAGGTTGCTCGGAGTGGATGTGACAGAACGGAACAACTGGAGACCGCCCTGGGAGTGGCGCCCAGACGCGAGCCCATCGGCAGTCCATCCAGATAGGCTGCCATTCATTATTGCATTCGCTGCGCACCCAACATGCCCTCCTCTCCAATGGACAGCTCCACCACCGATGGATCAGCCGCTGTTACCCGAACATTTCGCAGAGATCAATGCAACGCCAATGGTCGGCCGATTGGCCCCAAAACCAAGCGAGTCGGGATATGGCGGGTGATTTTTACCGCTTGCAGGCGGCTCGTGCCCCAGATGCGGGAACGCATCCGAGCGCGGGTTATTTGCC